AAGCAGATGTTTTCCCAGTGCCTAACCATCTCTAGCCTCACTGGTTCAGTGAGGAGCGTGGTATCAATGATTCATCAACTTGCTTGAATCTTATGGGTCAGGTCAGGGTCCTCACCCTGATTCCTAGCTTCATGACAGTCTGCAAGCTGATTAGGCAATGAGTGCACCCCAAGTCTATTATGGCCTCTACATCTCCCTGGGCTCTGGATTTCAGTGCTACAATTTTTGAGGGGGTGGCAAAGGGACTGATGGCTTCACTTACCATTGGGTCATCATTGTCCTCATTGTTGCTGTCGTAGGGCACCGGCTGCCGGATATCCCCAGCTGGAGTTCTCTCCCCTTCACTTATAGAGGGAGAGACCTTGACAGCCTGATGGGTGAATTTCCCCCTGTCTCGGTTTATTAGAGGGCTTCTTCACCTTGGCAGAATCCAGCGGCTTCGCCCTGGGTTGGGGAGTGGGAGTGAGGTACTCAGCAGCCCAGTGGCTTTGCTGGCCACAGCAAAAGCATTTGATGGGTGGTCCCGAAACTCCTCTGGAGGAGTCTGCGGCTTGACTGGGGATTGATCGTCTCCCCAGTTGTTGCTTCTCCAGTTTGGCCTTTGGCTTTGGCTCCATGGCTCCATGCCACTTGCATTGTTTGATCTCGAGGTCCATTGCTACTGCCATGCAGTACCTCTTGTGGATCTGATCAGAGACTCCTTGGTAAATGCAGACATTCAGCAGCTCACAATCCAGGCCCTCTTTAAAGAAGTAGACCAGTAGCCTCTCTAGCCACTGTCACAGTCTCCCAGCCACTTGTTGGAACTCTCTGACATATTCTTTGGTGTGTCAACGCCTCTGCTTTAGTTTGCAGATTTTGGCTTCAGCTTGCAGGGTCTGGTAGTCATCCTTGAACCTAGACTTCAGCTCTTGAAGAAAGGTGTTGATGTTCCCTAGCTCTGATGCGTCCTTGTCATGGAGCTGGGTCACTCATTCAGTTGCCTCTCCCTCCAGGTTCACTGTCACAGCACGGACCATCGCCCGATCACTCGGGTAGTCCACCATGTGGTCATCTAGGTGAGCCCACACCTGGTTCATAAAGAACGCCAGTTTCTCTGGGCCCCCGTTGAAGGTGACTTCCACAGTGGAAGGTGTGGCTGGTTGAGGAGGAGGAGGAGGACATTGTGGCACCATCCAAGCCGGAGGTCAGTTGTTGGGAGCCTGGCTGGCCCCAGGGTAGTATGCCCCGGGAGTGGGCTCACCATCCTGGAGAGTTGGGCACGCGGCCGGGTGAGCTTGCTACCCGATGGCAGTGTGGTGGGCTCTGCTGTGGTCCTGGGATCGACTGAGCCGACTGTGGCGGTGGAGGGCTAGCCAGCTGCATCGCTGCCACACGAGCCAGATCATGGCAGGGTGGAAAAGTCAAGACAGGTCTGCTCAGGACCCCACCGGGACATTTTAGCCCACCCACCTGCACCATCCTCTTGATGCTCATCCAGTCGAATCCTGCAGGGTCTCCACTGCTGGCCCTGGGTGCGCTGTCACATATCTCCATTCTATGGACTTGTCTAGCTCAGGAGGCCTTCCCTCTCTCCAGTGCAGGGTGAAAGCAGCCAACTCCCATGTGGATGTCAGTGGGAATTCCATTCCAAGCCTTGAATGGAGCCCTAGAATCTGAGGTCCTCCTCAGCCTGGTACAAGTCCCTGGTGGCTGTCACCTCTGCTCGGACCTTGGGACGGGTCCCTGCTGGGAGGGCAACCTCTGTCAGCATCACCACAGTCTGCAGAGCCTCTGTGGGGGCCTGAAGGCTCTACGTGGGGGCCGGCTTCTTCCCCCTGCTTCTCCATATCTGCAGTCTCCCCTGAGTCTTCTCTGCTCCCCTCAAGAGATCAAGTGAGCAGCCAGGGCTCAGGACCCTGGAAAGTATCTCTAGTTGGAGCCAAAAGTTAGGAAAGTTGGTTTAATGCCAGTGTTCCAAGTAATGCATCCATTGAAATCAGAAATCCAAGGCAGATAGATTCCTCAAAGGCAGGGGTGAAATCTAAAATTTGTTACTACTGGTTCTGTGGGCGTGGCTTGGTGGGGGGGTAATTACTGCAGGTTCGAATCTCGCCAAGGCTCAAGGTTGACTCAGCCTTCCATCCTTTCTAAGGTAGGTAAATTGAGGACCCAGTTGTGGGGGCAATAAGCTGACTTTGTATAAATATACAAAAGAATGAAGGCTATTGCTTAGCGCATTGTAAGCCGCCCTGAGTCTCCGGAGAAGGGCGGCATATAAATCAAATTAAAAAAAAATGTGACTGGGTGGGCATGGCCAACTTTTTTTTTTAACTTTTAAAAGCATTTTTTCTACAACCTTAAGAGGTTGCAGGAAAAAATGCCTTTAGAAGCCTCTGACGATCAGGCAACTCAGCTGGGATCGCCAGAGGCTTTTAAAAGCATTTTTTTTCCTACAACCTCTTTGGCCGAAGAAGTTGCAGGAAAAAAATGCTTTTAGAAGCCTCTGACGATCCCAGCTGAGCCGCGCGATCATCAGAGGCTTTTTTTTTTTACTTTTAAAAGCATTTTTTCGGCCGAAAAGGTTGTAGAAAAAATGCTTTTAAAAGTAAAAAAACAGCCTCTGATGATCGTGCAGCTCAGCTGGGCATGGGGGGGCAGGGATTTTTAATACCGGTTCTCCGAACCACCAGCCGCCATCACTACCGGATTGGGCGATCCAGTCCGAACCGGGAGCAATTCACCCCTGCTCAAAGGTCATGTTTATTGGATATATCATATCAGCACAGCCGGTGAAAACCAACTCTGAAAGTTTCCGCAGTTTTCACCTAATTAAAAGAGTAAAACTTCCCCCTTCCCCAGTGTCATCAGTCACATTGTCCAATGAATATAGCTGGCAGGCTTCTTTCTTCTTTCACCAGCCACCTGTTATGATTACCTTGGTTCCAACAGGAAAACTTTTTATTTTGACTGTAAGCTAGGCTATCTACTTCCCCCCACCCCTCCCCTTCTTCTTCCAGGCTTCATGGCAACTGTGAGGCAGCACAAGATGGCTTCAATCAGGTTCACTTGAGAGTTGATACCGGTAGCAGGCGGAGGCATGGGGGATGGCGGAGGCAGGCGATCCCAACACCCCATGTGGGTGCCTGTTTGGCACAGTTGCAGGCAAGCTGAGAGACAGTGGGTAGGAGTGAGTGATACGTTGGGATTGCCTCTGCCTCCACCTGACTCTGCTGCACACTTCACCCAGAGGGAGACAAAGCTTTGTCTGCTTGCAAAGAGGATGCTTTGAAATGGACCTAATTGCTTCCTTTCAAACTGTCCCCTTTGCAAGCACACAACGCTTTGAGTCTCCATCGTTTCTCCATCTGGGTGAAAAGTGTTTGGTCAAATGAAAGAGGAACAAAAGAACCAGCAAAGGAAGAAGATGCCTTTGCGTTCTGGCCCCATTTCACCGCCGAGGTTCTGTTTTTGCCCCCCGAATTCTTTATGGGCATCGGGAGTGAAATGGGGCAGGAAATGGCTGGGAAATGAGGGCAGTCCACAGTCACTCATATATTGATAAGCCGGGGTGGGGGGAATGAGCTATTTGCGATGTCCTGCCCCAGCACTGATGAGCCAGGGTCAGGGAATTCTTGAGCCAAGAATGCCAGGGAGGGGAGTAAAAGGAGTGCCAAAACAAAGATTTGGAGTGTCAGGTGAAAGGGGCAGATGGGGATAATCCGTCCTAGTCCTCACTCTGTTTTGTTTAAGGGGTTCCTTCAGGAGAGAGAATAATGGTTTGATATACTGGCTGAATGTGTAGCATGTGTTGTATCTCATTTGCAGAAGGGAGGGGGGAGAAAAGGCTTGTTATCAGCACGTAGCAGCATAGCGTGGGGGGTGGAAAAAGAGAGAGAGAAAGCTTCTTGATTCCTGTGCATGTCTTTTCACTAAGTGTGGGTGGGTGTAGTGGGAAGCAGAGCTCTTCCCGAGGGAGAAGAATGCAATTTGAAGGTTGTCATCAAATACACACACAGCTCAACCAGTGAAAGACTCAGGAAGAGCTTTGCTCCCCTCCCCACCACACACACACACACACACACACACACAAACACACACACTTACACTTAGTGAAAAGACAAGCACAGGAATCAAGAAGCTTTCTCTCCATGCTCAGAATTAACAGTATTTGCGCTGCACCAAGGGGCCGGCGGGCTGCAGCTACTGCTGGACACCGTCGGTCCCTGCATGCTCACCACCTCTTGTGCTGGCCACATCCATTCACCCGGGCTTATTTTTGGGGTAGGGCTTATATTAGGCCCACCCCCAAAAAATCAGGGTAGGGCTTGTTTTCTGGGTGGGTCTTAATTTCAGGGAAACATGTTAATAATAACAATACCCTGTTTCCCCCAAAAATAAGACATCCCCTAATAATAAGCCCAATCGGGCTTTTGAGCGCATGGCAATAAGGCCAAGCGCTTATTTCAGGGTTCAAAAAAATATAAGACAGGGTCTTATTTTTGGGAAAACATCATCATAATCATAATATCATCATCATCTTATGGGACTTTCGAATCCAAACAGGCAGACATCTGGCCCACCAAATGCCTGACATCACTATTGTAGGGGGAAAAAAAGTCTGGTTCATTGATATTGCAATACAAGGTGATGCACAAATTGAAGAGAAACAACTAGAAAAAAATAATGAAATGCCGCAATCTGCAAATTGAAGTTGAGTGATTGTGGAGGAAGAAATCAATGGTTGTACCAATAGCAATAGGAGCCCTTGAAGCAATACCCAAAGGGTTGCCTAGATACATGGAAAATTTGAATTTATTAGATCTGAATATTCTGACTTTGCAAAAAAAACCACCTTACTCAGAACTGCTTATATACCAGTACTCAGACATTATCTTAATAGCTCATAGGTCCTTGGTTAGGACTTGAACTGTTAAGTTTTTACCAGTTCCAGACTGTGAAGTGAATTGAAAATTAAATGTTTAATAATAGTAACACTATGTTGGCTTGTATTTAATTAGAAAAAAGCAGCAGAAGCTAAAGCACGAGAGGCAGCTGAACATTTACGTTTAGAAAAGGAACATATTATGCAGCAGATAGAGCAAGAAAGACAAGAACGAAAGAAGGTAACAATTTATTCAAATCAAATCTTGTTGCATTGTTACTTTACATTGTTCTATGACTGCGTAAATTAGGCTGCTGTAAGAAAGGAGCTATCAGCTTCAAAAAATACATGATTTAATTACACTCTCAGTATGAAATGCAATAACTAAATTACAAACTGTTCAGAATTAATTTTTTCAAGTTTATTAGAACTATTAACAATTGTATTATCTTCTGCATCTTACACAATTGATTTGGTAATAGAAGGGTGTTGGCATTACTGATTGATCATTTTATTACTGTTATATACTGTAGATAAGCCCTGTGTTGCCTGGGGAGAGGTGGAAATTTTAATGTAACATTTCCAAATCATTACAGTACTTCCACCAAATTAGAACTAAAAGAAGTTATGCTATAGATGCCAATAACAATGAGGGCTTTTTGGAAGAGATGCCAAGAATATAAAGCGAACAAATAGCTTTATGATCTGATTATATGTTTGTAGAATCCTGTACATTGATTTAAAGCTTTCTGGGAAATGAATTTCCCCCCGCATTATATACTTCTTTAATTTAGTTGTTAAATGAGGAAAGCAAACTTTTTTTTCTCATTTCAGCGAATAGATGAAATAATGAAAAGGACAAGAAAAAATGAAATAGCAGAAATCAAGGTATTAGAAAAAAGTTCTTTTAACAGAAAATGCAGAATGTTGTAAACTGGTTCATCCAGAAATCCTCATATTATTCCCCAACTTTAATTTAACAGAATAATTAGATAACTTAATCTTCTCTCTTGTCTCTGTTGCATGTATTCACTGTGTAAAGGACAGAGGTGAAATAAAGTCTTCTTTAAAACATCTTAGAGCTATAACATTTAATATATGGAGTAACTTTCTTCCTTATAAGTGGGAAAACAAACTGAAGAACTGTTTTAAGATGACAGGTGATAATGGGAGGAAAAGCAAAATTCTTCTCTTGCTGGTTTTCCCTTCCAAATCAGTCAGATTGTGTATGGGGAAGAGTTATGACTAATTCTTACTTGTTCAAGGTGTGCTACTTTCTTTCAATACAACTGATTTAATGTTTCAGTGTTAGGTAGAGTCAATGCATAATAATAAAATTAAAAGCTATTGACTATAAAAACAGAATATATACACTTCTTTATTGATTGTGTTAGATTTTTTTAAAAAGAGAACTAATAAGTTAAGATAGAGTGCTGGATTCTTTGGTCATATATGTAGTATATGTATTGTATCTATATATAGATGCACAATGGACTTCTGAACTAAAAGACAAGAATTCTGTTATTCCTACTCCTCATATTATGTCTTATTAATCTTTGCTTTAAATATATAATAGTGGTAAAACAACCGTTAATTCCAGTCAACACAGTCAGCCTTTCTGTGTGGAATTATAATCCTCAAAATTTAAAGTTATCTGATTGAAGCAGAGATTTATTTAAATACAGATAATATTTAAACCCTGTTGAACTCTGCCACATATTTAATTTGAAAAGGACTTATATTTAATGCATCTGTGCATTGTATGTAATGTAATTGTATGTAATGTGTTTGATGATAACAGAAAGAAGACACAAAATCAGATGAGCCAAGAACCTTGAATGTGGATCAATATCCCAACCCACTTGCCCTTAGTCAAGCAGGTAAAATGTGTAATTTCAGTCACACCTGCATACTAATAATCACTCAAAATCCATATCTTCATGAAAGGTGTTGGCTGTTATCCTTTCTGATTGTATATTCACAAAGCTGAATATTTTAGGATGTTATTCTAGGACCTTACTCTGTAGCTTTCCCATACATGTTTTGCTGTTTGTGTTATTTTTCATTGTTATGTCTACCCTTCATTTATGGGCTTGTCTTATTGTTTGGGATTTGGTAGTGCATGATGTAATTTTATTAAGCAAACATTCAGCCTTATTCTTTTTTCCTTTTTTTGCAACACCAGGGTGAACTGTTACTCCTCTCATGTGGACGAGTGTGTGTGTATAAATAACTTCAGTCTTTATTTGTATTTGTGTGTGTGTGTGTATATATACATATATATCTATATATGTATACACACACACCTCAGTAATGAGTTCCACTTACCTTCGCTAATGGTTTGGAACGGTGAGCACATGTGCATGGCATTTCTGCACGTGCACATGGCATTTCTGCGCATGCGCAGAGCGTCCGTGATGACGTCTGGGCGGGTGGGTGGAGCCTCCTGCCTCCGCCACTACTGGTTCACCCGAACCAGGGTGAACTGGTAGAAACTCACCATTGACACACACTAATACAAATGAAGACTGAAGTTATTTAGGCAGTGGATGCTATAGTTGCAATATTTCCAATCTAAACAAGAAACAATAACCAGTTGTATTACTGGTTAGTCCCTGAGACATTTGGGGCATCTGACAAGCAAAGGAGTTATGCTTTGCAAAAATTTGGGACACAAGAAACAGTGCTTACCTATACTAATCAACTTGTTGTTTTCTACCTGCTCTGGCTAATAATCATCTGTTTCCTAAAAGATATACCCAGAGAGTAGCTCTCTTCCTGGTTTAGTTTGATTAAATCAGGAAGATATTCTAGATCAGCCCTGCTCCTCCTTATAGTGAGTCAGGACTCTGTCTGCACATTGTTATTTAAGTAATATTAGTAGGCATGTATCTTATCTGGAATGATCACAACTCTCTGAATTTAATTAATTTGTTAATTGACTTTGAGTGTAGCAGGATTTCCATTCCAAGCAGGTCCCTATGCAGGAATAAAAGATTATAGAAGCTGAGGCAGTGATGGTAATTACACAGAAGCATTAATTTCCTTACGAGATTTGCTAGGTTAGCAGTAAAGTACCAGGAGTAGCTAGACCTAGGGCTAAATCTTACACACAAACACATACACACACTTACAGAGTTAGAAAAAAGACCTTTCCCTTTTTTGCAATGAGGAAAAAGGAAAGAACTCAAAATCAGGTCCAACATTAGACAATTTTTTTCCTCATATTATCTGCAACCTCGCTTGTCATGCAGTATTATCACAAAAGCCAAGAGTAAGATCGGCACAATTTACACTGCTTAACTTGCTTGAAAGTTAACTTTTCTGTTCCTCCCTCAGAACTAGAACTGGGGATGCTCTACAGTGAGGAATCCTAGTATTTTTTATTTTGCGGAAGCTTAAGACTCACTGCCCCTGGCCCCAGTTGTCTGACAATTTTCTATTTTGTCCTAGGCAAGACTTTCCTTGCCTTCTTTTGTGTAACACCATTAGAACAATTTATTCTATTGAGAGAGCTTCCTCTTTCTCCCAAACTGTGAGAGGCCTAAAACAGATCTCGGAGGTCAGTAAAAGAAAATACTATTAGCAACAGTACATACATCTTACATAATGGCTTTTTGAAGAGTTCAAGGACTTGCCTGCTGGCTAGATAATTTTATAGCCTTTGTAGTTCTAAAGACATGGCTCAAACTCAGCTCAGCTATTAAAACATAGTTTAAGACTGTACAGTGCTTTGGATTTGAGGGGCAAAATGTTATTTTCTCACAACTGAAAGAAACAGTGCCTTCTTCCAGAACTTTGTGACTGTTCTTTGCAACTGTATCTGATCCAAATAAAAGGTATTTTTGGTTTAGGAACCGTCAACAGGTACTATGTGCACACCCATGCACTCTCTAAAGAACCTTTTTTCTTTTGAATCCAAAATGTTGCACAGCCTAGTAAAGCAGTGTTTACTTTTTATTGGCATTACATACTTTCTTGACTTAAGGAACCCCTGGAATGCCAGGAAGACCCAGCTCTCTATAATTTATAAATATTTATCTAACACTTCTGTGATGACAGATTTTCTTCTTGTAGTAGTGGATATCAGATTAAATGTTCAATTTGCCATACAGGCATATAGGATTCTACCTAGTTATTCTAACATAAGGGCAAACAGAACTAAGACACTTCTTTTAACTGATATTTGCATGCTTTTTCTTCTTTGTCCTTTTTGTTTGTTCATTACTTGCATTGATGTCATTTACCACAGCCCCTAAAAACTGCTCCAGTTTTGCAACAAAGTGCTTTTCCTCAGATAGTTATAGCACTGTTTTATAGCTCTTCCCCAAACCTGAAGCAGCTACTTCATATATTTTTACTATATTTGCACTGTGTCCAAGAGGAAATTTTTATTTATTTATTCATTTATTTATTTTCACATTTTTAACTGCCCAGCTTTCTCAGATATGTATGAAGTTGTAGAAAGGTCTCTCATTCTTAGCTGAGATCATGAGATATTTCATTTTGCTTTGCTTTTCTCAAAGCTGTATTCAGAATGAGTACCTAAACATCCACCTCAGTTTAGAAGTTATGTATACTGCCTTTGAACATACTATTGGAGGATACTTTCACTCACTGTAGAAAAACAGGTGATTGTATTCTTCTACAGCAGGTGGAAGATATTTACCCTGGGTGGAGATGTTTGAGTGCTAGGAATGTAGCAATTCCTGCTTCTTATGGTAATTAAAAGCAATTCCTGCTTTTAATAAGTATAGCCTGTGTTCTAGTAGAGACTTGAGAGTTGGTTTGGAACACCTTTTCTCAACCTGGCTGCCTTCAAGTCATGTAAACTCTGTCTTCCAGAATTGCCCAATCAATATTGTAATTGCTGGTAATATGGGTTTAAAGTCTACACCTCTTAAGAACCTCCAGATGGGGGAAGATTGAGTTGGAAGAATTATTGCCTGTTTGATGTAATATTCGGTGGGAATTTCTCTTATGTAGGAAAATGTATGTATGATTTGCATAAGGCCTACCAATTGAAATTAGTGGCAGAACCAATTCATGTTTTAGCCACCTGAAAATTAAACCTCTTGCATTAAATTTAGTTTTTAAGAGAGAAATATTGAACACATGCTGATGATATGGGACTCCAGTAACTTAAAGCCTGTCCTTATGTATTAAATGTATTATATGAGCACAGATTTTCATGTGAGAATACTTTTTGAAAAATTGGAAGGCTTTTAATCCAGGAGAACGCATACTTAAAATTAATGGCTTGTCTTTCTCCAGCAATTTCTTTTTTCCAATCCATCTACTCTTAGTGGCTAAATTTCTGCTATTAGATTCTCCTTTGTAAAGGGGAAGACAGAGGAGGATTAACTGTAAAAAAGAGAAATGGAGAAATAACATTCAAAAGAGGAGCTGCTGCTTTTAGTTTCAAATTTCACTGGGAATAATATCAGATATCTTATGATAAATGTATTATCTATTCAGTTCTTCAATGACATATATTTAATTTTTCAGGCTTGCCTATTTTAATTCCTTTTACATTTCTGCTTTAAATTTTGTCTAGCCAACTCAGGAATACTATATAATAAAGTATTCTATGGAATAATGTGAGTAAACCTGATGGATTTGTGAGAGTTGGAAACTTGTGGGAAATTTTTAAAATCACATTTTCTAATGTGACTCTTTTTGCAGAAATTAATGGAGTAACAAATTGCAAAAATCCTAAAGGTTTTGAATGTGCTGTGTCTGAATCTTTTCCTCCTGAAGTATTTTCTAATGGTCGTAAGCCACTTATGGGCCTTATTCAACTAAATGCAATGGATGGAAAATCTCACAGCTTGGATGAGTCAACAGATGAAGTTCAGTCTATGGATGTGAGGTACATAATACATTTTCAGAAATGATATTAGTAATCTAAAGAAGGTAGCAATTCATTTTCTGTGCTTGAATTTGTCAGGTCCACATCGTGACCTGCCATTCTGTTGGGGTGGGGGTGGGGAGGTTGTCTGCTGGCATTTTTCGCATGCTTTTGCTGTAATTGCCTGGGAATTAGGGAGGGGGAGTTTCTTCAGAGACAGAGCAAGACTCCCTCCCAGCTGGTTCCAGCCTGGATTCAAAACCATCATGCCCTAAGAGTTAACTGTTATCTGCCTAGTATCTCAGTGTTCTCAGAACAACTTTGCAACATCACATTGGCTGCTGGTGGAATGGTCAGTGGGATTTCGTTTGGGGAAACGGAAAAATTGCTTTGTATTTTATGTGGGCTTTTTCATATTTTGCCTGACTTTGCTGCAAAAACATTCTCTCAGTAAAAGTTCTTTTGATTCAACTCAATGGAGTCAAGAATCTTGTGTAGGGAAACAATAATATAGAATATAAAATACTGATATACTAGATTTTAGTAAAAGCTTGTTATTTTGTAATCATTAGGTTCCTGTAACATATATATTGTGCTTTTGTATCACATATATTATTCCTTTCTATTTGTATCTCCTGTTACAAACATATTGTCATTAGGCCTCTGAAATGTATCTGGTATTTGTCAAACGTATGTCCCTGCCATTTGACCTGCTCATATCAATCTCTTTCTGTGCCACCTAAAAACATGGTACGTATCTGTTGGAACTCCAGCCATCAACAAAGGGGTAATTTACATCTCAATCCTAATTTATGCCTGATCTGGGTAAGATCTGGTCTTCAGGAGCCAGGCGCTAAGTGGCCAATTAAGTAAACAAAGATAAGACTAATTGGAAGTTTAGATTCCTTTGCAGGGCAACAAAGAATACACAAACATAAATTAAGGGGCCAGAATTGGGGATCTAACTGATGCTTTAAAGGTATAAAACGTGGTTACATCTTCTCTGAAGATGTGAACCCTCCCATATACATATCTCTTTGTATGTGTTTGGAATGGTTTTACCCAGCCTTTTGTCTTTGATCAAAGATTAAATGTTGATTCTTATTCAAGCCTCCGTTTAAGTCTTTCTTTTTGGTTCACTGAGAGCTTAAGCGTATAGCCGGACCTTACATTTCTGGCGCCCAACGAACGTGGGGCTTGAAGGCAACGTTTTCCTTCAAGGTTGCCACATTTGGCCCCCCATACAGCCAACCCCCTTGTGGTTTGGCGGCCTTCACCAACGGCGTACGGAAGAAACCGGCGAGGACCAGAGACGACGTCAAGAGCGCTCCCGGCAAGTTTAAACCGGTGACTTCGACCTGGTCGGCCGTCGGCAGATTCTGTTTCCAGCCGGACCTGAACGCCCTAATTGAGGCTTGAATTGGGTATTGGGGAAGATTGTCCTCTGCTAGGTGAGTAGAGACTTTTTCTTTTGGGTGGGGAGGGAGTGTTGCTTTGTGAGTGTGTGAATGAGACGAGGGAAATTCCTCAGAGGTTTGCCCTCGAAGCGACGTGCGGAGATCCAATCTGCGTTTCTGATTATCCGAGAAGAGATCAGCCAGAGACGATCGCTTTGAAAGGAGTGTGACTGTTGGAATAAGAATCTGTAGTGCAGGAGAGGGCTCTGACCAAACTTCGGACCCGCAGGGGAGGTCTGGGAAATCTCTTAGGGAAAAAGAGAGGGTTTGGTTAGGCTTCGCACTGACGGAAAGGTGTGGGAAATCTCCTCAGGAGACAGAGAAAGTCTAGTCAGGCTTTGAGCTGACAGAAAGGAATCCCCTGAAAAATGGGCAACCATGCTGGTAGTCCATTCGGAATGAGTAACTTTGTAAGAAAAACAAAGCCGTGTACCCCTCTGGACTGCGTGTTAGCCCATTGGGACACAGTAAAGCCTATTGCAGAAAAAAAGATTGTTCTAAAAAAGAATAAGCTGAAAGCCCTCTGCACATCCATCTGGCCAACCTACTTAATTGGTCCTAACGTAGGAACCTGGCCTCCAGAAGGCAGCCTTGATTTAGATTTTGTCAACAAATTTGCTGAATTCCTGGCTGCCATAGGACGAACTGAAGAGGAGCTTTACATTAGCTTCTTCTCCAATCTCCTTTGTCGCCCAGACATCCAGAAAGCATGTGGGCTCACTCCAACACCCTCTTCTAAAATTTGCCCCATTGTCACTTTTGCAAAAAAGAAAAAGCAATCCAAAGTGACTGAAGAAGAAGAGGAGTTTCCCCCACCATATTATGTTGCTCCCCCTTCCCCTGATGTAAACGCTGTGCCTTTAATGGCTCAGGCACCTCAGGCAGCAGCACAATCCGCTGTGCAGGATCAGGTGCGTCCAACTGCCCCTCAGATTAATCCACAAGCTCAGGTGCTCCCAACAACATCACAGCCATCCCAGGCTAATCCACAAAGTTCAACATCCCAAGCAGCCCAAGCTCTGTATCCAGATCTGACGGCTTTAAGTCCTCCTCACACTAGGACGGGACAGACTTACGCACCTGCTGACCAACCGGGTCCCTCAGTCCTAGCCCCCCTCCGACAAGTTCCTATGAAAGATGAATTGGTGTTTGTTCACACACCTTTTACTACCAATGATCTTTTCAATTGGAAAGCAGGACTTCCCTCTTACAGGGAATCCCCCCAAAGTTATGTTGAACTCGTTCAACGTGTGATGGCCACTCATAAACCTAATGTGCCTGATATTTTTACTCTCTTATCGGCACTCCTGTCTACTGAGGAAAAACAACAAGTTCTTAAAGCCACCACAGCACACTACAAAGCTGCTAGAGAACATGGCATTCAAACTAATAACGATGCCCCAGCTTTATGGCCTGAACCCCTGATTCTTTTTAGCCCCAGCTATGAGGTTGATCCCAACACAGATCAGGGTGCCCTCATCCTCCAGAGAGCCAGGGATGCTATCCTTCAAGGACTGAGGCTTGGTGTTCCAAAAACGGTGAACTTTCACCGCGTTCATCAGATCCTTCAAAATCCAAAGGAATCCCCCACTGATTTTTTGAACCGTTTGAAAGATGGATTTCGGAGGTTTACTGACCTCGACCCTGATAGCCCAGCTAATGATGTTTTGCTGAAAATGACCTTTGTGGGACAAAGTGCTCCCGATATAAGAAGGAAATTGCAAAAACTAGAGACCCCTACTGCTAAGGACTTAGAGGCCCTCATTCAAACAGCTTTCACTGTCTATTCCCAAAGGGAGGAAGAGGAAGAAAAGAAAGAAGATAGGAAAATGAGAAAGCAAGCTGCTCTTTTAGCAGCGGCTTTGAGCCCCCAAAATAAAGGCAGGGGAGAGACCCTCCCGAAAAATCAATGTGCCCGGTGTCATCAAACTGGCCATTGGTGGAGAGAATGCCCCAACGAACCACAACGGCCCAATAGGGGACGTGGACAAATGAGGGGAAGGGGAGGATACAGACCTGATCCCCCGCAAGCCCCCCTCATGTCAGCTCAGGCTCCTGAGTTTTATCCAGAAACCTACTGAAGGGGCTCTGGAGGGCCAATTGCTTCCCCAGACCCTCTGATGGAGCTCAAAGTGGGGAACAAATCTTATTCCTTTTTGATTGATACAGGAGCTACCTTTAGCGTCCTGAACGATAAATCCATTCCTTGCCTCTCTTCTAAAACCACCCCCATTGTTGGAGCAACCGGGATAGAAGAGAATGCCCTGATCAGTCACCCAATGGAGGTTGAACCAACCAAGGGACCATCACTCCAGCATTCCTTTCTAATATTGCCACAATGTCCTATCAATCTTTTGGGGAGGGATCTGCTAGGAAAATTGGGGGCAGTTATACAATGCTCCCAGCAGGGAGTTTCCCTTGAAATTCCCCCAGAAAGAGCTTATCTTTGCTTCCTAGAGAAAGAAACAATCCTTAGAGGACCTGATTCAAATAAAATAAATCCCCAAGTTTGGTATCAAGGAATCCCTGGGTTTGCAAAATTTGCTACACCCCACATGGCTCAGCTCCTCCCAGGTGCCCAACCTATCTCTATTCGCCAATACCCTATAAAACGGGAAGCCCGCTTGGCATTAAAGCACAGATTGAACTTTTTCTGAAAACTGGGCTCCTTGTCCATACACAATCATATTGGTCAACACCAATTTTTCCCGTTCCTAAGCCTGATGGGACTTGGAGATTTGTTCACGACTTGAGGGAGGCGAACTGTAGGCTCCGCCCACTTCATTCAGTAGTGTCCAATCCATATACGTTACTGACTACACTCTCTAGTGACCAGAATTGGTATACGGTCATAGATTTAAAAGATGCCTTCTTTTGTATCCCTCTGGCTAAAGAGTGTCAGTCATACTTTGCTTTTGAGTGGGAAGATCCTTCTGATGGTTCCAAGTGCCAGCTGACTTGGACTCGCCTACCACAGGGCTACCGTAACAGTCCAACTGCTTTTGCTGCAGCCTTTGCCCAGGATCTTAAAGACTTTGACACCCAACAAACTTCCCTCTTACAATATGTGGATGATTTATTAATAGCTGGCAAAGACCAGAAAGATGTTGAGGATACTTCAATCGCCCTCCTCAATCACTTGGCTGAAAAGGGCTACACAGTATCTAGGAAGAAAGTCCAATGGGCCACTCAGGAAGTACAGTATCTGGGTTTTGTTCTGCGCAAAGGCTGTCGGCTCCTACATGAGAGCCGCCTACAGGCTATTTCAGCCTTACCTACACCCACTAACGTTAAACAGCTACAGACCTTTTTAGGCATCACTGGCTATGCCCGGCTGTGGATTCCAATGTATTCTGTCATTGCTAAACCCCTTTATCAATTAACTCAAAAGGACATGGCCTGGGAGTGGACAGGGGAACATCAGAAAGCATGGCAGGACTTGAAAGATGCATTGGGCCGTGCCTCTGCCTTGGCTTTACCCGATCAAATGAAAGGCTTTGAACTCTTTGTTTCTGAAATGAAGGGTTGTGCCCTGGGCGTTTTATTGCAAAAACTGGGCCCCAA